CACAGACTGATATTCGACTTTTCTCCACAAGATTGAAAAAATGGCTCAAAGACAAACAAGAGTGTGAGCACTAAACTGGCTTGTAATGTACATTTTTGTTTTAACTTGCATTTGTGTGTCGTTTTTAACCTCCCTCTCCCTCAATGCTAACACCTTTTAAAAGCCTAACCAGGGACGAAGGCTGCAAATTAGCCCATGGCTACAAGCCTTATGTACTTGGACATCGGCCACCTGTTTGGTTGCAATGTTTAATTGTACTGTCCCTGTCAAATAAACAAATAAATAAATAAAAAATAAAAGTAACAAAGTATAAGTAAAAAAAGTATTTTTGTTCTTGGTAAGATATTATTAACAGTGGTTCATTTATTTATTTTTTTCATAATCTTAACCAGATTGTGTTTCTCTTGTTTAAACAGGGGTTACAATAAATCTAGGGTCTCCTTACCATGGTAACTGTGTGAAACGGAGCACATCCCCATTATCTTACTCTTTGATAGTTAGTTGCTGAGTACTCACCTGGGGGGTTACATGCCCTCAGCTGATAAGCTGACCAATGTCTATCGGCTGCTTGTGAAAACAGATTCTTCTTTTCTGATGGATAGGCTGCTCCTCAGATTCAGTGGGATAAATCTCCCAGATGTGAAAATCCACATCACAAGGCTGTAGCTCACATTACCCACCACTCCCCATGGGGGCAGAGTGCTGATTGTCTTTAGATAGGCTATGCCTTTTTTTAATGGGATTTGGGGAGGGGCTAGCTTCGGGGCACTTGGAAAGTCCAATGACAACTCAGCCCACGTGTTTCATCTTCTGCCATCCCCCCAATCCAAAGAAATAACAAAAAATGCCCCGGATTCCTGTTTGGCAACTCCACATGCTTTCTACCTGTGCGCTGGTGACATTCAGCTCAGACCATCACAATGACACACTGTGACTCAGTAATTATGTCTGCATTCATGTCGCTTATCAACACTGCATGACTGCATAATGTATCACCAGTGATGACTTGTGCTTAAATTGAGCAAGCCAGATTTGAAGAGTTTTATCCAGCCATTGCACGAGGAGATGGAGACAAGCCAGTTTGTTAATCATAACATTTCTGTTTTTGGGCTCTGATTGGACACAGTAGTTGTTCTCAAATAAAGGCTTCATTACCATGTGCACTCAGAACAAGCAGCAACTGAATGCCCTGTGTAATTAGTTAGTCTAAAGTCATTGCATTTGCTTACATACTAAACCTGAGCAACTTCTAAATCCTATAAAGGAAAACAATTCTATTGATAAAATTGTTTCCCTTGAAAACATACATGAACAAGGAAATGATGAACAATCTGATACTGGGTTGCAGTTCAAGGAAAAACATATTTGGAAGAAAGCTTTGCGTCAGATGTGGAGATTGTCAGGAATGTTTCCACTTGTCTCATTTGTTCCTGTTATGTCTTGTTTTCTTATATTCGTTCTTTTATATTACTAAAAACACCACACTTGAGGTTTGCTTAACATTTACTTAACATTTATATGAAAAATAACCTTGGTCAATAACCAACTTATGGTCTAAGTCACACTCAATGGATAATCAATTAGACAGATTTTATCCATGGAAAACTTTTTATATTCAATAATATAGAAAACGGTTTATAACAGAAGAATAAGCAATTTTGAGTCACGCAAGAAAATGTTTATCTATTTTGAGTTAATAGGAATAAAAACCACAAAATCTATGACTGAGGAAGAACAAACAATATTCTATATGTAGACACCATTAAAAACATACAATAGAGCAAAATAGTTTTAGAAAGTCCAGCCAAATCATTACCAGTAGTCCTGCTCTTACTTGCTCTCTCATAGCCTGAGTGAACAGGCCTACCTTAACACGCTGTCAAACATTTGATTTCCTCGTAAAATGTGTTTTATATCTTACTAATTCCTTTCACTGGCTCTTATCACTTCCCTAATGCTAAAAGGAAACTGTCTGCCTCAGTCAATAACACCATGCATATGGGAGAGCATTGTCAGGATGCCCTGATAGCACTTACAGTCTAACTCTGTGAGCCTAACTCAGTCTAGGTTAGGCTATACTAGCCTAATCTAGCTGCCGCTTTCTCTCACACTGTTGCCATCAGTAACTGTGCTGCTAAGTTTAGATTTTGACCTTTCAGTCCATTCCAGCAATTTTTTTTAGGGAAAACAAATGCCTAATGATAAATCTTAAGCCTTTTTTTGTGTGTGATTTTGGAGATTTTGGTGACAAGCTAAAAGCATCAAACTGGTAAGTGTTTTCAGCAAGCAGCAAGGACTGCTGCGAGCCCCTCTCTCTTCCACTGCACTGGCAAGCAGTCAGCTTCAGCAGCAAACTGTTCCTGTAGTCAGAGAGAGAGAGAAGAACGACTCATCTCTGTTTCCCCATTTAAAATGAGTCACACATGAGCAAAGCTTCAGCTGACCATGGATTATAATCAGGGATTTAAATATGATATTTTCTTATTTGAAACTGTTCAAAAATGGATTGTGAATGTATTTAATTCCAACCTAACAAAATATATTTGCGACGTTTTGGATTTAATAAACTATTATTGCATACTTTAAATTATTTCAACTTAAGTTTTAAAAATATTTAGTAATTCTGACCACTTTCTGTCCTGCAGATGTTGATATTCCTCTCTCCTACAGGCTAAATCAAAACATTATCAAATATGCACATTGGATGATGGTGTGATTTAGTGATTTTTAACTATTTTTAGGAAATTTAATAGCAACTTTCCTGGCTGAAAAGTTGGCAATAGTGTCAAAAGGCCCAAACTTCCACTAAACCCTCACTGTTCATCCCCACATGTAGCCCTGTCCCTCTGGGTTTCTTTGGATAGACCACTTTGTAATTAACACAACTTTCAATATAATGATGGATTCACTTATCAGGAAAAAAAATTAAAAATAATAAGTTTGCCCCTAGCCAGACGTTATACTGTAGCCTGGTCAGCCAGACTCTAAAAGGATAAATGGAAACAGATTAGAACCAATCAGATAACAAAAAAAAAAAAAAAAAGTTTGTTTTTATCTAAAGAAAAGCCCTTAGAGCTGCCAACTGTGAGGTTTTAAATATATATCCAGCTACTTAGGAACATAGTAAAGGGCATCATCGTGGTCACCATCTGACTGTTGCAGAAAAACACTGCTGCTATAGCTAATTCTAGCACTAAGAGTGTTAAGTCCAGCACTGTGACTGGCCTGGTATTTCAGCTGATTAGGCTGCAAACTATCAAACTTTGATTACCAGAACATTTCTCTTTGTAGCTTAACTTTAGAATACTATGAAAACGGAAAAAACATGAGATTATCTTTTTTTTCTAAATGGTTTCTTTAAAATGAATGCTGTCATTTATAATTCCCATAACATCAGATTGTCTAATAAAATTAAATAAAATTTTTGCGACAATAAAATTTTTTCTGTAAAAAATAATAAAAAAAAATTAAATATGTCCCAAGTTACGATGAGGTCATAATATCAAAAGTTAAATTCTGGACAAAATGCCAATTTTTTGACTGACATCAAAAACAATTTACTCTGTGGTTCCCCCACATTTTATGAACAGTTTAGACAGGTGTCTCTGATTTTACAAAACAATGATACACTTATAGGTATTGAGACAGGTTCACACTTTTTTATCTGCAGAGCTGCAAGTGGCTCTCTTCCATGCTATATCAGATGATTGACTATTTCCCTGTTTTATGTGTTGTGCTTTGTTCTGTGCCCTCATGAAAAAAAACTGGCCCCACCCTGGCCCCCTGATATATTTGATAAAGAACCACCACTGCTCCCCTTAAAGATCTTCAAACTTCAAATAGTTTTGATAAGGGGGGGGGGGGGACAAAAAACAAAAAATGAAAAACAAGACATTTGGATCAAATTTTAAAAAACACAACAGAACTAAACACCAGTAAAACCAACAAAAACAGAAATACAAAGTTTTATTTAAAATTCACACTATAATGAAAATGTATAATTTGTTCCATACATGTAAAAACCATCTATGGTCACTGGTACATAGTGGGAGAAAAAAAACAGCGAATCTGTTTTGTCATTATGCAACACACTTTATACGTTATATACAGGTAGAAATTTCCAGTAAGCTCTGCTATCTATGACTTAAGCAATAGTAAGCTCAAGAAACAGTCATGTCGAAACTAAGGTGTGGCAGGTCTTCCAGTGGACTGGGGGCAGGAGCTGCGTTAACCGCGATAACAACCGCGCTGCACCTTTAAGTGAGAAAGACGCAATACGTATTTGGTGATGTAAGACGCAAAACGCGTAGGGCCGGAAGGGCTGAGCCAAGCTGGCATCAAGTTAGCGACAATCAGCAGAAGTCGAAATAGAAGTTTAGAAAACTAACTCCATGTAAATTCCCAAACTTGTTTTTCTAAATCAGTTTAAGCTATATATAAAATCATTAAAGATTCTGTAAAGTCCTAAAGCAAAAAGGATATATGATATCCTAAAACACTTCCCAAAGAAGTAAACAGTTAAAAGAAGACTGAATTCTCCCCTCATGTCATAATTTTATTTTAAATTTTATTTCTGTTTAATATGGGGGAAAAGTCAGAATACTGAGATTAAAGTCATAATTCTGAGAAATAAAAGTCATAATTCTGACTTTTTTCTCATATTAAACTGAAATAAAATCAAAATCAGTTAACTTTTCATTTTTTCAGTGGCCCTAATCCTTTTCCGTTGTCTGTAAATCTTGATATTTTCAATAAAATAAAAATATAATATATTAATAAAAGTAAAATAAACTAACTCCATGTAAAGGGGTTTTGTTGTGGTAATACAATGTTTGTTGGTGAAAAAAAAAGTTTAACTTAAATAATCTTTAGATTTTAAAATTCGCGGATGCACTGTAATGCAACCCATTTATGACCGTATTAATGAAATAGTTCTGTGCCTTTATTTTGAAAGTCCTTAACCAGGAAGTTGAATTGTGCTGAGGGTGACTTGACGCTGCCAAAAGAGAGCAACCAACGCACGGTGCCTGCGTGAAGGAAAACGGGGGGGAGCTCAGACAAGAACCGGCTGGGCTGTTGTCGGGGTCTAAGCATGCTACAATATAAATGCTGAGTCTGGAGCTACAATATCTACATTTACTTCCCGAACGGAGATAGCTGACGGCCACACCCCGGTTCTCTTTACCTCCCGGAGTTCGCAGAACAGCGCTGGCGGCGGTTTGAAAGCCAGCAGGGGCGGCTAGCGGCTTGAAGAGCGGAGAGGAAGCAGGAGCAATGAGAGAGTACAAAGTGGTGGTTCTCGGCTCCGGTGGGGTCGGGAAATCCGCACTGACCGTCCAGTTCGTGACTGGCTCCTTTATAGAGAAATACGACCCCACGATAGAGGATTTCTACCGGAAGGAGATCGAGGTGGACTCGTCCCCGTCGGTGCTGGAGATCCTGGACACGGCAGGGACCGAGCAGTTCGCCTCCATGCGAGACCTGTACATCAAAAACGGCCAGGGTTTCATCCTGGTCTACAGTCTGGTCAACCAGCAGAGCTTCCAGGACATCAAACCCATGAGGGACCAGATCATCCGGGTTAAACGGTACCAGAGGGTACCGATGATCCTGGTGGGGAACAAAGTGGACCTGGAGGGAGAGAGGGAGGTGTCGTCCGGTGAGGGGAAAGCGCTGGCGGACGAGTGGAACTGCCCGTTCATAGAAACCTCAGCCAAAAATAAAACCTCGGTGGATGAACTGTTTGCAGAAATAGTCCGACAGATGAACTATGCCACAACACCAAATGGCGGCGATGGGTGCTGCTCGGCTTGTGCGATTCTTTAAGGAGAAAAAAAAGGACAATCATAAAGTTTTATTCTCTACTCGGTTTTAAGTTTGCAATGGTGAGTAAAAAAAATGAATAAATAAATCACAGTAACCCATAGACAGCTGTTGCACTGGACTAGCATGTGATTAGAAATGTTTCTGAATTGCTCAATCTCTGAAGTTGACTTTTTTCTATTATGGAAAAAGAAAAGAAAAACAAACTTGTTAACCATGGAGTTTGCTGATTTGGATCCAGAGGAAAATTAAAGAACTGTAAGATTATCTCCATTAATCCATTAAAATTCCCTCCCAGGCTTTATTAGATCCTTTATTAGTAAACCGTGAAAATGGCATTAAATTATATCCTTTCGATTGGCGTCCATATAGAATGAAAATGGTGAAAGTTCCTGTTTTTTTTTTACTAATTGACTTTTAGATTTATTTACTTTTGGAGAATATGTTTATCTCTAAAAGTTGCAAAACATATTAATCACTTAGGATACTGACTCTCAGCTCACCTGCAGAAACTAGTTATGGCATATTAAAGCAATTTTTACCCTAATGAGAGTATTGACAGACATTCTATCTCACAGTGTTACAAAATAATGTTAGAGTACCATGTTTTTTATGAATTCACCCAGAAATTAAAGCCAGAATGTGTAACAAGATCATATTGGTTTAATACAGACTAAAAAGAAACAATTATTCCTGCTGCTGAAGAAATTAAAATGCATAGTAGTATTATTTTTAATGTTGCTTGAACCTTCTGCCAATCTGTTTATAGATATAAAAGAGGTACTTCAGTACAAGCTGTAATATAAAAAGTATTGTCGGTTTTGCAATTTAAAAGCCAACATTTGAGGATAAATTAGCTTCCTTGTTGCACATTAATTACCGGTAAAAGTGCTTCTTAAATAATTTACTTCATATGTTGACATAAACAGTGTTACAATTAAAAGAAAAATGTTCCCCCCATTTTTTCCATGGTTTTCATGAATATCAGAGATTTTGTTTACTTAGTTCCTTGCACATCCAGAAAGGTATGGTAAATACTTTAGAACATATATGTTGAATACACAGAAAAAGAGAGATATCTCAATCCAAACAAAAATATGTTTTTTTATTATTTTTAACTTAAAGATATTTTTTAACTTTTAGTTATGTGGATCTTTGCAAGCTGACTAAGCATGTGCTCACAATTTCTTGTTTTGTTGGATTATAATTGCGTTAAAGCATGTGAGCTAACTGACCATTTGTTACATTTTTAGTTTGTATTCTTTTAGAAGTTCTACTTGGCATCAGGTTAATCAGACCAGGTTTTGTTGGACCAAAACTTAAACAACAACCTGAGACATTTAGCAAACAAGAATGACAAAATACATTTTTAAGATACCCTATATTATGGGTATCTTAAAAAATATCAATACAAATTGTTTAATAAATGTCTGTTTATTAGATTTGACTTATTGAATATAAAATACCTACAGAGAGTTTACCCAAGGTGGGTTTAAAACTGCAACCTTTAAAAGGAGTGATGAGTCACAATCCTTTAGTCTTTATGTCATGACTGGTTCGAACATTAGCTGTCTTTAAGCCTGCTAACTGGAAGTGGGCAGCTACATGTGGGTGAGCCTAAGTTTGAGCACTATAACTTTGGTTTATCCGAATGCCAGAAACCAGATCATGTCTGTTGCCAGGTTATTGTAACTACTGACTGATAAGCCCCATTTACACTGTCCTTTTGAAACCAAGATAACTGTTGAGTGTTAAGGCTGATTTATACGCAGAACATAAGGGCTCTGATTGGTCAAATCTACATCCACTCTACTCTATGCGTATTTTCTGTTTGGTACCTCACAGGCTTGTTTTGCTTGTATGACCGCTATTGTGAAAACCAGTCATGAAGTTGGACCAGCTAGAAGAGTGAGGTGCGTGATAACGATGGGACCCTTTTTCCACCTGATCTCGCTCTTTTTCGCCCTCATGTCCCTCCATTGTCACACAAACTTGCCCCTTGTGTTTTTCCACTTCCTCAACGCATCCGGCCGTATCTAGACCCACAGCTAGTTCGTGATTGGTTTGTGTCATTGAATAACACAGCGCAGACCACGCTTCAAAATCGGGCATAAATCAAAAATATCTGAGACAAGCTCACTGTGACACACTGCTGCAGGAGTATAACCAGCTCTTAAATGGAATGCAACTGAACTGGATTGTGCCAGACGCAACCAACCTGCACTAAATCTAGTTCTAGTTCAGCAGTAGGTCTCGGCACGGTTGAGTTGTGGCTCGGTTCTCTGATGACAGAGTGCGCGAGCAGACCGCGTCATCTCCTATTTACAGTCAGCTGACTCATTCGGTGTGTCCAGTTTTGTAATTCGGCGTGTCCAGTTTTGTAATTCACCAATCTCTTCACCTGTTCAGAGCATGAACTTTTAACCTATTAACAATAAATTACATCAAAAGAGTGTGGTGTGATCTGGGATGATGCTGAGACCTAGGCTGTCATTGAAATTTGGGCAGAGGACGCTATCCAGACACACAAGTAACAAAATGTTATGGACGCCGCCATTTATTTTATTTTTTTTTGCGTAATTTCTGCCTTGAGAGCAGTAGTATCGTGGACCGCCAATAGGAGGCTAGGAACCGTGCTAGCATGATGTGGAAATCGTCGTAGCTCGGCACGGTTAACTGATCCAAGCTCAGTGTGAACTCTGCACATATCGGTTTCAGAGGGGTAGTGTAAATGGTGTATTAGTTTGACATGAGTAACCAAATGCCAAGGTACCTCTAACTGTAAAACCTAACATGGTGTACCTGTAGACTATTGTTTTACAAAGCAGATTGGAGAAGTTTCAAACTAATTTGCAGAACTGCAAGAGAATAAATTTACTGACCTTATTAGGTTTACAAACCTGTTGAATTTGTTGAACAGAAAGTAGGGAGTTGCCCAGCCACTTAAAGTTTATTTTCATGAATAAGGTTTTGGACCACATCCCAGAATGAACCTAGAGAGCAAAGTACTTTGTGGATATTTCATATAAAGTTGTAAATTAATAAATGTTTGTTTGTCTTTTGTCTGTGGCAGTGTGTTGCAGCGAGTCTGTACTGTTGAGCTCTTCTTCGTGTCTCACCCTGGCCTTGGAGGAAAATGAAGGGAGGAATGCTGCAGGGGGACGGGAGGAGGAGGGGAGCAACTGAGACAGAGGGAAGGGTTCCACTCTTGAGGAATTCTGCTGGGTCGAGTATCTGCACAATCAAGCGTCCACCGCCGATGTCAACGCAGAGTCGGATCAGGAGTTTCAGAAAACCCAACAGCTCCTTTCCCACCGGAACTAAACTCCAATGGAAAAGATAGAGAGATTAACACTTTAGAGGAACTCACAAATGGATATTTCTGCAAGAGAAGAAGATAGGGATATAGAATATATTTTGTTAACTAACTGCACAGTTGAAGAGGACAAAAGATTTTGGCACCCTTAACCACTTTGGAGAAATGTTCCACAACACTCCTAAAATCCTATTTTATCTTCCTTTTCAAATTCCGAAGAAAAACCACGTATGTGGTGGTGATAGATGACGAGTGCCACTTTTTCTGTTTCTCTTCACCCTAGCTAAAGCGCTATGAAGACGCTGACCTGATAGCCCTTTGTGTCGAGTGCCTTTCCGAAACAAATCAGCTGTTTTTGTGCCAACCTACACGTATCACCAAAACGACCCTTCAACATGGCCATTCACAAGCTTGTGAACTCTTCTTCGGGATAATCTTGTAAAATGGTTGAGGCTGAAAACTTGACTAACTAAAATAGGTTTATTTTTATTGTTGGTGAAAAAAGGTGGAATTTTGTTTGTAATATGTTGGCCTTTTTTTTAAGTCTATTTGCATACTTCAGCGTCTGCTTGGTCTGGTCAGATCTATTTCTGTTGAAATGCACAGGTACTGAAACCGACCTCGGTGTGAGAACAATAAAAAATGTTTACGTCAGACCAGTTTATTCAAAGGAATCCACTTTGTTTTGTTGGTTTTTGTTTTGTTTTTAAACCGGAAATGTGATGATGTACCGTTGACGGATCTATACTGATTGTAAGTTTAATTTCAGAGCAGCCACACAACAGTGGGCTGTTTTAAAGACAATTCTTTTAATACAATTTGCATTTTTTAAAAATGAACCCAGGCTCTGTTTTTCATTCAATTTCTTGTTATCCTGGGATTAGTATTAGTGCTGAAACTTCAGTTAAATTTGCACAAAAAAATGCAAAAAGTATCTGGTTACGATAATCCCAGGATATAGCATCTTTAGTTTTTGCATTTTAAATTAAGCTCACTTTGCTTAAAAGCCACAGTTATATTAATGTCAACATTTAGAAGAAATAAGGTCAGGTAAACCTGCCATGTCTGTTTTAGTTGCATTTTATCTCCCCAGACTTCAAGCCTTCAAACAAACCGTGACTTTGTAGCTTTCAGATAAACATCAAAGTCATTTTGTTGGTAACTGAAAAATCTAATTTTCTCAGTTTTTCTCTCTCATGCTGCTGAGCCACGCTGTCATTTCCGCCACAATAACAAAACCCTCCTTGTGGCCTTACGCTGAAACCCTGGTGACGTAGAATGTCGGCACGGGGTGTAGCTGTTCTGAATAGTTTGAAAAACAAGTTTAGCAACTTGGCCTGGTTTATTTTCAGAGTTCAAATGACATGGCTGCTTTACGTTTAGTTATTTTAAAGATGTTCCAGCTGAAGTTTCACATGTAGAAAGCCTTGTAAAGGTAACTTGAAATGTACAACAAGCTTGTTTATTTCTGTCTTGTTTGTACTCCTTAGCAGTGAGGTTATATCACTGTAACAACCCAGAGCTTCATCCCAGCAGCAGTAGAGGGATGCAGAGAGGTTGGTAGGAGCAAGGAGCCTAATATTCAGCTTCTGTTTACCTTCAAGCCTTACCTAAACCCTGCTGACTGGACCAACCGCGAAGTGGCTAAACGGAGTAAACAAACATCATAAGCTTCCAAAGCAGTCGGGTCTTTCTGAGAGCAGATGTGTCTGCCTGTCAGTGTCCTGCTTTGGCTCAGATTGCTGCTTGGGTCTATGCATGCTTTGGGTATCTGTTGGCCACTGTGAGCAGTAGTATCATGTGTTCCATGTGACTGCAGTGCTTTGAGAGGTTTGCGGTGGTGTAGAGATGCACAGATAAGAATTGTGTGAGCCATGTCTGTGCTTTATTCTTTTTTAGCTTTGGCCTATACTATTTGGACCAACTGCTTTTGAAGTATTTTTCTAACCTTCCTGCTGAGCGTTATTATTAATCAAAGAGTCATCATTTCAAGCTGCCTTTGGCATCATATTTCTTGCTAAGTGATGCAGTTAGCAATATCAAAATGATTTAGATTTAGATTTTTGTTTAAGGAATAGAGACTCAATGTTTTCCAGAAAGCTTCCAGCATTTACAATTTTATGATGTAAAGCTTAAAAGTATAAAAAAATCACCTTTGATGTTCTTAGTTTAAGTTCTGATTTCTTCCAGAAGTGTTGCAGACATGTCTCAACACGTCCCAGTCTCCTTACGTCTCGGTGCCTCATTAGATTTCATTTCTTAAAACGCCTCACAAACACTAGAAACACTTAAATGCGTTGATCTTCCCTTCTGTTGCATAATTTTGGTGCTCTCATGTATGGTGCTTTCACGATTTAGAAAAAAACCCTATCTTTTTTTAACTATTGGAACTAATACTGGTCTTCATTCAGGGCTGAACGAGTTAAATATTTAGCTGTTGTGTGATTTTTTTTTTCTTCCCTTTAGGGAAAAAAACCTGTAGTCAGGGTGATCTGGTAGTGCTGTTGTTCCTATATTGTGCAAAAGAAAAGGAATTTTCTTTTGCAATTGCAACTGCTGAGTCACCCGGGATGTCCTGCTGAAAGTTGTCCAATTCTGCTAGACATCTGATTTCTTAGTCCATCTCCAGGATACTCACTCATCTTTTGTCATTGGCAATAATATCTAACAAAATAAATAATCAAATGTCATGCCAAATCTGTCAGAAGATGGGAACAGCGTCTGCATGTTCATACATGCAAACTGATTTCTTTCTCACTTCTTTAAGCCAAAAAGGCAGCCTTGTTGCCTAATGTTCGGTTTCCGTGCTGAGGAACTTTGTTTTTGTCTGTTGATAGAAGTTCACTGATCACCCACATCTACTGAAAACAGTGTCTACTTTCCAGCTGTGTTATCTCTCTGAAGCCAAAACTAATAGTATGTTTCCTCCAAGGCCGCGATACGGGCGAGAAATGAACTGAAACCAAAGTCTGCCTTAAAAAATAATAAAGCTAGCGAGACTGGTGTGTGGATGAAAGGGGAGAGTTTTCTGCAGTTATATGCCCCAGTTACAGTGAATGTTAACCTCCCTCTCTCATCTACTCTGGCCGTTGCAAAGTTTTAGTATCTTGCTGTGGTATAAACATCTGATAGCACAAGAATGTACCCTTTGGAGAAAAGGGAGCCCTTTTTTTTTGAGTTCCTGTTTCTTTTTATCTTTCTTTTTGTAAAGAGGAAAGTGGTAAAACTTTCACTTCCTGATCTCTTTGTTACACAACATTAAACGAAAGGTTTCTCTGGGTCGCATTTAATCCCTTTCGGACTCCTGAGTGACTTTATTCATTAGCAGTTTTTTTTCAGCATCTATGGATTATTTAATTTTTTTTGCCTTGTTTGAAAGCAGAGAGGAAATCAGCAAGGCTCAGGTTCACAAGTGGCCCAGCGTGTCTGTGGATGTTGGGTCATGGGAGATGGTCATGTGATAGTGGTTGCTATGGTTTGGGGGGGTTGGGTTGTGGTATTGGTGCTCATGGTGCCCTTGTGACCTATGGGGGATCAGATACTGCTGGAGTGGTGGCTGATTTCTTTGATCACTTTTGTTCTTCGTCCTCTCAGAATATGATGTCAAGTTATCCAAAAGGAAGGATTAAAGAAATGCATTTAACAGTAAGGCCCATGCAACAAATAAAATCAGAAAAAACTTTGAGAATTGAGTTTGAATAACGTTGCCACACTCCCAAGTGTTTTTGCAGTTGCTCTGACAGGAAGTGTAGCAACACAGACTGCAAGAGTGGGTGGTGTGTGTTTGCATTTTTTACATGGGACTTAATCACTATACAGGCTCCTTGCTGAATTACAGGTTTCGCTTTCCCTCTAAGCGTCACAGAGCTATTTCTGAAGCCCTCTTGTGTTCTACAGATTTGTTGTTTTTTTTCTTTCGGTTTTCTTGGCATATCTTCCTGTTGTGTGCTGCATTTTTCCCAATAAGCAGGCCCTACGAAATCCATTTGATTCTGTTACTTTTGTTTTCGTTTTTCCGTTGGAGTACCACAGGGCCTCGTCTGTTCCCCTACTGCAGCATCTCACCAAAGACCTGTATACCTCTTTTTTTTTTGGTCTATACCGGTGGCAGGATCCGTTTTTCTTCTACTGTCTTCTGCCACTGTCGTTTCCTGTTGCATTACCATAACAACAAAAGGATATCCATTTGCGGCTGATCACACAGATGCACGCTGTGGTTAGACTGTAGTGTCTACATCTAAATAGAAGTGCAGTTTGGACCTTTGGAGCAGTTCAATGTCATTTCTTTGTTCAGATGCATGGAGCAAAGCCTTTATTCACTCTGAATGTAACAACTAGGTTCCTTTAGAGAGATGTTATGAAAGACTGAGAGGTTTTCTTCTTCAAGTTTAAACCTAAAGGGGTAGCTCAGGATAGCTTTAAGTTGTTAATGTGTTACCTCCAGTCTATTGTTGACATCTTTATTTTGTTTAAATCCTTGGTAGTTGTTCCCAGAATATGACAGTGAGCTGAGGAGAGATAACCTGTAATCTCAAAAACATCCTAGCAGTTTATCAGAATGTTATTTTCTATACCCGTGAACCATCATTATGTTTGTATTGGGTGGTTGTGTAGGCTCTTCTGCTTTGCAGCGTAGACTTTGTTGCCCAGTTTGTCAGTATTAACCGTTTAACCCTGTTCTTAAATGGCTAGCCTGCCTTTAATAATAAAACACAACAGAAACATTTCCATTTTATTGTGGCTCTAAAAATATTAATTCAACTAATGATGATCATTTATTTTATACACAAAATTTCTTTCAGCACTAATCATAATGATTACTGAGACAAAATGGAACAATGTCCCCAACTGCCAAAAAACACAAAGAACTGGACATGCACTTCTACTTTGATATTGAACATTGATGTCCAGCAGTTTATTTTTGCAGGTGTCTTTTAAAAAAATACTAAATCTCAATTTGTTATTTAATATTGACCTATGATCCAGACATTGGTGGGTTGCTCATATTATTTCCATTATTATTTACACATAAGGTAAAGTTAGAAGTGTGCCCAACAGAAAAGATTTTTTTGTGAGACAAGTGATAACAAAATTAGTAAAAAATTTAATTCCAGCCATTTAAACCCAGAGAAGTATGATTTATTTTGCAACAGATACATTTTGATCCTCTGTAATATCTAACCCAGTTTCTGCTGATACCCCCCGTTTCCCTCCCAAGGAATAAACCAGAGAAAAGAAAGGAGAGGACTTTCATTGTATAATTTTGTTTTCTTCCACAGTGGGGAAATTAAGGTGTATCAGTAGCACAAAGTTCATAACAGAAAAAACATTACTGTGTAGTTATTAAAAATTACCTACTCTGTTTTAATGAAATGTGCAGCCCAGCATGGTGATTTCAAAGTATAACATGAGCATTTAAAAACAGCAACACACTACAAACAATAGAAAACCACAGTTAACAGCAGGGATTTAAACAGCTTATGGAGTTTGCTTTGAGCAGCGATTGTTACATTGTCTAATAGGTGCTGGGATAATAATTCACAATAACATTCTTTAAGGCACCTAAGGTGCTATAGTTTCACTGAAGGAGCTTTCATATTCTGCAACATCTTAATGCAGAGGATGGAAGAACTGGTCCAACAGTGATGTCATTTTAGCTATAGCTCCCTTTGTCTCCCAGCCTACCTACACTGGGTTGAGGGAATTAGCTTCATATGGCTGATGTCACCACAGACTCCAATAAAGGTACTTGGAGCACCTATTGTAACTCTGTCTCCTCAGGTAGAGCCCTCTTTGACTCCTCCTGTAAAGTGAATTGGTGTTATGGTTCCCACCCAGT